GCGGGCACCGCCCGCACACACCTAGCCGCCGCCCCGCCGAGCTCGGCTCCCCTGGGGCGCCGGAGCCGCGGCTGAGGGCCCCGCCGTGCCAGGCGCCGCGAGCCAAGAAGTGGTGAAGTGCCCGGGTGTAACCCAGGCCAGGATGAAGAGCAGAGCTGGTCGGGGCAGCAGGCACGGGGAGGCCGGAGCTGCTACTCTGGCACTGAGCTCCTGGGTGTGCTGCCAGGGCTCGGCCCTCAGCTCCGGTCCGACCAGCCAGGCCTCAGCCCAGCTAGGTGTCTGCTGCAGCGGGGAGCAAGGTCAGCAGTGCCCGTGGCTGCTGCAAGGGACAGGCTGAGAGGTGATGCTGTAAGCCCCTGCTCCGAGAACACTGAGGGGAAGGAGGGCAGTGCCCTTGCTGTGGTGTCATTCTTGCTGTGCAGGGGAGACGGTTCCCAGGCACGTTCGGGGCTCTGACCAGCTGCTCCAGACCAGGCAGCTTGGTACTGCTTCCTGCAGGCAGACTCCAGGGTTGCTTTAGTGCTGTGTTGAGGGAAGTAAGAGCCCTGGCCTCCTCTGGGGATAGGCACCAGGGTGAAGGCTCTGGTCTGGGCAGCTGGGAGGGTTACATACTTGCTGGACAGGAACATGAGCACAGGAATGGCCTGGTCACAGCAGGTCTCCATGGCAAAGGCCTCCTCCAGCCACTCCATCACTATGCCCAGAGTTTCTTTGCAAGGAGGAACCCTCTCTGCTGCCCCAACAATCTCTGGACTTTCCATGGGCTTCAAATCCCATCCCTCATGGGTTCCAGTCAGCCCAAACATTTCCTCAGGTCAGCAGCCTGGTTGCCAGGAAAGCCTTTCCCAACATAAGGGACACCCACAACCCAAACTGGCAGGTTCACATTGCAGCTACTCTTCCCACTGCCTCTAGAGGCACTACACGCGCAGTCAGTGAGATCAACCCAGATCTACAAAGCACACACGACTGAATTGACAGCACCCCCTTGTGGAGACATTGCATACCTCGAGAGAAGATTAGCTATCAATCAGTTCCCCAGAAAAACTATGCCCAAAGTCCTCTTGTTGGCAGAGCTACCTCTGTGCTATGGCTTTTGCCAGCATAGCCACATTGGCCAGGGGGTTTTTTGCCCATAGCTAACCAAATTAGTGTGACAAAACTTTGTAGTGTAGACCTGGTCTGAATGGGCATTAGTATGTGTGTGTCCTTTAGTGTGTCTGAATGCACAGGGGTTTGCATGTGCATATCCAGCCCTCATTTTCTATGATACTATGCTATACATATGTATGTGCATATGCACATTTTTATATTATTGGAATCTATGTGCCTGTGAATCTGTGTGAGTGTACAAGTGAAAGAACATGTGTGTACACATGCACACATGTTCTTTCACTTGTACACTCAGTAGGGGTGTACAAGTATGCACAAACCCCTTCAGTACACACATGTGTACTGTAGGGGTTTGTGCATACCCCTACAGTAGGGCAGGATGAAGTTCTTAGTCATTCCTGAACGTTTCCCCATGCTGGCCCCTACCTGGAGAGGATGGCACTTCAGAGACTGTTTCTGAAAGCTCTCACCCAGTATCAGCAGCCAGGCTGGGCAGTGCTTTGCCAGAATCTCCCTAGAGGCAAGTTCTGTGATGCTAGGGAAATGGGGCAGTGCTGTGCTGCTCCTGGGATGGGGCTTGCTGAGCTTGCTG